GAAGGTCCCTGCAGCAGCCGCGGGTAACGGGGCGCGCCGGGCCCTGCCGTTGGTTGAGCGCTGAGCCCTGCTCGCAGGAATCCGGGATCGCTCTGCCCGCCTTGTTGCAGGAGACGATGAACAACCGGTGATTTGAGCCAGGTGCAGCGCTGCTGGAGCCGTCGTTAGCACAGGCTGTAATGTCTTACTCGAGAGTTTCCTGAGTTCCATCAGAGAAGCGCCCGTCCATAACCGTAGTCTGTAAAGCATTCGGTTAGTGTTTTAAAAGCTGTAGCTGAACAGTATTAAATGTGTTTGTGCGTCTGAAGTTTCAGAGCTTCTGCCAGGAGAAGAAGAAAGACAGGGAACATGACTCTTTTTGTAAATAATGGAACTGTTAATTGTGCATCCACTCTAGTAACCTGAATGTATGCTCTAGACTTTCTTCTTGTTTAATTTGTTTTCAGGAAGTGATTAAAAGCAAGAAAAAAAATGGTGTAAACTTTAAATGGGCTATGTGAAGCTTAAAATGGAAGCATGACTTACTCCAACAGAGCATTCGTTCTCATATGCCGATCTTTCTTCACACAAAGCATTATTTATTTATCTGTTTCACGCAGCACACTGATAAGATCAGACAGCTTGCACTTCTTCGCTGTCATCTGAACTCAACATCCGTTGCCTTTACTCTGGTCCCAGCAAGATGCCAGCAGCCCTTGCAGAGAACAGCCAGGTTATCTGTGAAGTATGGGCCAACAACCTGGAAGAAGAGATGAGGAAGATTCGAGAGATTGTTCTAAGTTACAGCTACATTGCAATGGTAAATGTTTTATACTTGACCTCATTGCCTTAGGCAAGGGATTTCTTGGGTAGGGGAGTAAGTTGATTCTGGAGCGAGAAATTATTTCCTCCTATCCCCATTCGAACTGAGCTGGAAGTTAAGTGGTGAAAAACGAGACAGCAGTTCAGTAGAAGCTTTTCCAGAATTTAATACAAATAGTGTCGAGTACAGATTGAAAGGAAGATGGGGAAGAGAGAGACCACCTTAAAAGCTTGAATTCATTCAATATTTACCTCTTCATCATGTATTGGTTCGTGCAACAGAAAATTGAAACAGGTGGGATGTACAGCTGGGTTTAAATCTTTAGTTTTCCACCAGTGTGTTAGTCCTTTGGATGTCTTTCTCCGTTCGGTTGTGGAAAATGCCATGGTCCTGTAGGACAAAAGGCCTGCAAGTGACAACTGGTCAGCCAGGCTGCCTCCTTTTGAAAAAGCTCAGATGTTGATTCTTGAGGAAGGAAAATATTCTGGCTGTAGATATGACAGTGTGTTCAGAAAGCTTTGCTGAAGAAGAGCAGAATCTCTCCCAGGTGGGAGGAGTCTCCTCCTCCTCTTACAAATCCGTGTCTGCTTGGCAGGAGCCAGTTAGTTACATAAATAACTGGGTTTAGTTATGATACTGTTTTATGCCAACTTTGCTTAGGAACACTAAACTTCAAGATACGAGAAGTCCTTAATAAAAGTGTGGCATATAAACACATGCCCCCGCAGAGCGTGTGGTATTTCAGTTGTAGAACGCAGTTGTGTAAGTTAATATATTGATTTTTTTGTTATCATATGCCAACGGGAAATGAGCTTTCTTGCTTCTGTTTGATCTCCTTGAAATGGTGCTTATGACCCGTTTTAGTGGCTGTGCTGCAAGAGTCGACACACAAAAGTCTTGGGCAGGGGAGAAGTTTTGTCAGATGCACAGCACTGGATTCTGCATGGAAGTTTTTGCGTCCACTCCAGGCAGTAGAAGTTAGGTGACCTCATGTGAGAGTAAAAATAGTGTGGAAGTTTGGGTTTCAGCAAGGACAACCCACCATCACTGGCCAAGTGAAATGTGTTTCATCTAGTAGTGGTTGCTCTGTGGTTAAGGTCTGTTTTGCTTGGCAGTAGTTTTCATTAATGTAGGCATTGGCTGCTCCTCAAAACCAGTGAAGGTTATCACTGTCTGGACTATCAAATGGAGACGGTCAGAGTGATTAATTTAACTTGTATTTAGAACATGAAAGAACACCGAATAAGTTAAAAAAAGTCCATTTTAGTAGATTTAGGGAAAGTGAGATTTAGTCCTTTGCGAGAGATGTTTAACTTACACAACAGTGCATATCAGATGACTATACAGCATTTTTGTTTTGGAATAAAACAAAACTGCAAGAATGGATACCTGTAATAAATGAATGAATACAACAGTTAACAAATTGTGTTGTTTTTTTAGTGTCTGAATCTGTATCAATGTGGAAAAGGAGAAAAAATAATTGATTTTTACAGAAGAATTCACAGAATGCAGTGCTGAGACCTGCAAATGTGGAACTGAATAGATGCCCAATAGTGTGATAATAATGACTCCTGAGAGAGTAAGTGGTGAAATAAGACTTGACTCTTCTCTCCTAGGACACAGAGTTTCCTGGAGTAGTCGTAAGGCCGATCGGTGAATTCCGCAGTTCCATAGACTATCAGTATCAGCTCCTGCGGTGTAACGTTGACCTTCTGAAAATCATCCAGCTGGGCCTGACTTTCACAAATGAGAAAGGAGAATATCCGTCCGGCATCAACACCTGGCAGTTTAACTTTAAATTCAACCTCACGTGAGTCTCTTGAGCGAGGGAGTAATGGCCTGTTCTTTTCTGCTGAGTGATGCTTTCCTTTGGCAAATGCAGGTGTCTGTGTCCATGTTAAAATATAAACTGGGATCTAAAAAAAATATTAGTGTAATTGTCACACCTGTTCAGGAGAATGAATCTTGTTCAATGACATGTGGCAGTTGTTCTTGTCTCCTCCATACTGCAATATCTTGGGTTACGGTTGAAACAAGTTTCATCATCCCTTCCCCTGGAATTGTGAAGACAAGCTCACCATAATTACTGTTAGAGCTGCATGGACATAAATAAAGAGAGGGTTTAGCTGGCAAAGCCACACGTTTATTGGAAATCAAACAGTACTTTTATGGAACTGTCATTGGAAAATGTTACAAAAATTCAGAGCTACCATGTGCAGATCATACAGTTCTCGAACCCAGACATTGCAATATTTGCTGCCACAAATTTGTGAGTCTCTTAAAGTACTGAAGTCAGAGTGAAGTGATTTTCCACAGTGTGATCACTTCATTTCACTCAGTCACCAGATTTAGCATGAATTTTGCTCTATGTATTGTCATGTCCTTCCTTACCCTCCCCCCTCAATTGAAACAACCTAGGAAGGTTGTCAGAAGTCACGTTCCTGCTCAGCTCTCCACCAAGGATATCATCACTCATCCCTGTCCTCCTTCCTTAGTCAAGCATTATGCAATTCTGTTTACTCTCAGAGATGGAACAGGAGATGATGAGAAGGTGGTACGTGCTGTGAGGTGAAGAAGAAAAACGTAGACAGGAACGATGCTCAGTGCTTTAGAGTTGCATGTCTTCCTGTTAGGGAGAACTCCCCTCTTCTTCTGGCTGTCATCTGTAGTGCTTCCATTCACCTTGCAGAAGTGCCATTTTTAAAAACGTCATTTGGTTCTATGGAGGTGGAATCTTTGGAATTTGCACTAGCAGCAGAATTATTAACTAGTGACCATCACAGAATAGCTTGTTACAGATGTAGGAGGCTGTAGGAGTGGCATTAAAACTGATTCCATTTGAATTTTCTGGAGACAAATGTGGAACTCAGAGATAGCTTACTGGTCACTCCAATATTTCAAATACAGTGTGGGGGAGGTTTTCTACAATGAGCTTGAGTTGTTAGTACCTTGAGTGCAAAGCTGCTTTTCTCCTGCAGGGAGGACATGTACTCTCAGGATTCCATAGACCTCCTTGCCAGCTCTGGGCTGCAGTTCCAGAAGCATGAAGAAGAAGGGATTGATACCCTGCATTTTGCCGAGTTGCTGATGACATCTGGAGTCGTCCTTAGTGACAGTGTGAAATGGCTGTCCTTCCACAGGTAGGTCCAAGGTGGTCACTGGCACTACCAAGTGAGAAATGTCTTTTTGACTGAAATACTGCTGCTTTGGCCCATGGAGATTTTAAGGAGAAGAATTGGCAGTGCTGCAGTTTATTTTAATAAGCTTAAAGACACCAAGGCCAAGTTGAAGGACACTCTGCACTTTATTTTGTACTAGCACTTACTGTGGTCTGAACTTCATGTATGCATTGCTTCCAAATACTTGTGCTGTTACAGCCCTCCTTTATGGAAGAAGTTATTAACAAGCCGAAATGGGATTTTTACACTTAGTAATTTGTGTGCGTTGTAAAGTGAGGTTTTTCTTTCTTCTGCCTTACAATGTCAGTGTGTTCTCAACTTCCATCTTGTGTTTACATGGAGGAAGAAATCTGTGTAGTTAAGACGTCTGTCTTGTAGCGTTTCCAGCAACTTGATTACAAAGCCTTTGCTCCTTGATATCATGCCAAGTGAAAGGACTTGAGGGAGTAGGAAGTGGTGGCAACAGATACTTACAGGGTTTCCTGCTTTTCTGTATTGCCCATAGCTATAGAAACTTGCAGCGTTGGGAAGAAAACTGTGTTCTTCCCGATGGCTTAACTGTTCTGCAGGAGGTTAGTAGAGGCACCTAGGGACATTCGGAAGTCCTCCATTGACAAAAACGATCAGGATGAATTCTGGCTCTGATCCAGAGAAGTTTTATGAATGTCAGAAAATGTTAAGGTTTGAAAGCTATACAGCATGTGAAACTCTTGCGAAAAATGAGATATTGGTACTGACCAAGCGTAGGTGTTGCCTGCTTACCTGGTTTCTGTGTGGTTTTGTTTTCAGTGGTTATGACTTTGGCTACATGGTGAAGCTGTTGACGGATTCTAGGTTACCAGAAGAGGAACATGAATTTTTCCATATCTTGAACCTTTTCTTCCCATCTATCTATGATGTAAAGTACTTAATGAAGAGCTGCAAAAACCTCAAGGTACTTGTATCTCGCCAGCAAGCGGGTGATGGGTGGGCATCAACACTGCAGATGTACAGTAAGCTGAGTGGCAGAACTCGTGCATACATCAAATCTTAAAACTGGAACACGTATAAAAGCTAGTGGTCACACGTGAGCACCTACCAGTAAGTTTGTGTCTAACAGACACTGCCTGCCCAGTTTCAGACTTGCATATGTGTGTTACATCGGGGACATTCCCTTAACTCTCCGGTTTGTGTATCAGTAATTTCAGGGGCTGACTATAATTCAGCATGCTTGTCTTCCCTATGCAAGGTGGAGTATTTCTTCTTACATGAACTAATACATGACTTGATGAACTGCTAGATGCTCTGAGGGTTGACAGTAATTTATCTACTGAATCACAGCCTTGTTTGAGGAAAGGGAGGGAAAGACCCAGCACTGGTAACCTATGAATGTACCCACAGGCATCTCCAGTATCTGCAGCAGGAAAGCAAGGTACCTAAATCTGAGCCATTTGTGCATTCCTGAACAGTATTTACCGCTGTGTTTCACTCACAGCTGGTGTGTGTGTACTGGAATCTGCATCAATTCATTGCAGCCAGGGTTTGCCCTCATGTTTTGGAGAAGTATGGCAATTTGGGCAAGAGGTGCATTTTCCAAAATGAAATGTGTTCTCTTGTCATTGCAGGGTGGCCTTCAAGAAGTGGCAGATCAGCTGGATTTGCAGCGAATTGGACGACAACACCAGGCAGGATCAGACTCTCTTCTCACAGGAATGGCATTCTTCAGAATGAAAGAGGTACTTCTTTACGGTTCTTCTTTCTCCAGTTCTTATCCATAAATGTCAACATGCCCACTGGGGGTGTTTTGTTGTGTGGGGTTTTTTTTGAGCCTTGTGGCCATCACACTTCAAACTGCCAATAATAGGAATTGTTGATATTGGCTCAGACTTCTGCTGTTTACTCCTCTTTCATGTGCTTATTTTAATTCACATGCAGCATCTTAAGAGATGGCTGACTTCAAACGAGCTGTTTAATTAAAATTGGGTGCTTTCTGATTTAGAGGGACAACTAAACAATACCTGTTTCTTTTTTTTTTTTTTTTTAATGTGCAGTTGTTGTTTGAGGATACAATTGATGATGCAAAGTATTGTGGGCGGCTGTATGGCCTTGGCACAGGAGTGGCTCAGAAACAAAACGAAGATGTGGACTCGGCCCAAGAGAAAATGAGCATTTTGGCTATTATCAACAACATGCAGCCATGATAAACGGTACCTCTCAGCAGAAGGCGGTTACCATATTGGCAGCTGCTGTCCTCAGCCATTTTCCCTAATAGTGTCTCAAACTAAAGGCATCTACAGCATACAGCCTGCAGTTTTGCTGAAGAGCTGCATCTTCATTTGAAACCTGGAAGAGAGTTGACTGGATTCCTAATGCCAGCATTTGTGGTTTGCCATCTTTTTAATACCAAGGGCAAAAGACACGACCTACTGTGTATACCTCTGTTTTTTTCTTCTTTATACTGTACAGAATCTGCAAGGAAGACTTAATGGGAGAATATTCAGTAGAGCTAAGGGTCTGGACACCCAGTGAAAACGGACACAGACATGCACACAAATTTGCAAATTGTGCTTTATAAAGCTTATTTTAAAACTTCTGCATGTTGTGAGGGTGACTGCTTCACCTCATGTTTTGCTTATTTTATCTTTGTGTAGTCTGTGGAAATTGCTCCCTTTGATCACTGCAGAGGTTTGGGAACAGATGACATTAAAAATGATCCTTGCAGCTAAAAATATTCAAGAGATTTGCTTTAACAACAATGGGAATGGATATTGCCGGAGCTGATTTGATCAGCTCTCCATGGTTTCCAATTCTGTAGGGTACAGGTTTGACCCATACTGAGCCTCAGCTTAGTTCTTACGGGCATTAGTAACCTGTTCTGCAGATTAAGAGAGCCTAAAAGTTCACCTTTGCTCGAGGACCTTTTGACAGGGGATTGGACCAATACTCTGACTTCAGTCTTCTTCAGCTTAACATAAATATTTTATTCTTCTCATTGCAACACAAGTACTTGAGCAGATGGATCAATATTTGTTCCTCTTCTCTCCCCACTTCTCCAGGCCCTAATTTTACTATATGCTTAACAACAGACAAAACTTTACTGAAACTCCATTTCTCTTCATTATAAGCATCTGAAAAGTAGTTAGAGGATGGAAGAACTTTGGATTGTGACTTTTTAAAAAATGAGCTATTCTATAGCATCTTTTTTTCAACAGCTCTCTAATGACATTTCTTAAAAAAACACAACCACCACCCAACCAAAAACCAAACCAAAACAAACCCTTTTGGACACTGCAAACTTAAAATTTTAAGACTTTGTCTTGCATTTTAAACAAGCTTAAACAATCCATTATTAGGAGTTGAGGTTTAGAGCTGATATTTAAAATGCTTGTAAATACTACTTGTTTTTAATTTTTGTAAAATAAATTTTTTTAAACCAGGCCTTGTTTTGGATTTTCCATAAAACACTAAAATTCCTAAAGTTCAGCCTTTGGCATCTGAATTTGAATGATACGTGCTCAAAGGGAAGATGCTCAAGTTTCTTTCTTCTTTTACCATTTATGATGTGCTACTGGAGAAGCTCTTAGTAAAATCTGCTTTTGAGCTTATTGCACAGTACCTGATGAAAGTTCATCTTAAAAGCTTTTTGGGGGACTCGTACTCTCTTTAAGCTCATCTCTCAGCACAGCTAGCAGTGTTGTGGAGTATTCTTCCAGTGCAGCATGGCCGCTTAAACTGACAAATCTGTTTTGCTCATCTGTCCCATGAAGTTTTCCTGTTCCCTCTAAACTCTAGTGGTTCTTGCTAAAAGTGCAGGAGGGCTGTTTGGTTAAGCACTATCTCCCCCTCCTGGTTTTCAAGTACCTTGTACAGATTTTAGAAAGTCAAATTGTTGCCATCAAATTAGCAGCAACAGTTTACCATATTAACACATCTACAGAAGGATCTTATTTTAGTATAACCCCAGGTGTTCACCCTGGCTTCACGTTGTTCTGAGGCTTTACTCAGCTTGGAGCAGGAAATCTATAGATCAGTATCAAGTCTGCATTTTGGCTGGAAGAACCTGGAACTGCTCTTGATCACCTAATTTTTGTCTTAATAATCTTTACTGTACCTACAAGGTTTCTGAATTCATGACCCCCATCCTAACATGACCTTTTCTGCTGCATTGAAAAACTTGCTTCTAGAAATTACAAAGCCAGATGCTATTTCATGAAGGTTTATGCAGCCTTGTTCTTTTTGTAGAGTTAGTTTTTCTAAGAAGACAGGCAAAGCTTTTAGGTGAGCTGTGAGACTGGTAAAGTGTTGCGTGTTCAAGACTCAGGAATCTAGCACTGGTTTTGCCACTTCTAGAAGAGCAGCTTTTCTAGAGAACTTGGTAGTTCCTTAAATTTACCATCACTGTTGCCAAAAGGAGGGACTTCTCTTTACCTGGAGAAATGCCTTATCTCTTGCTAGTCGTGCTAGAAACAAACATAAAAGATCTTGCCCTCCATTTTGTGTTGTACGGGTGTCTTCACCACGCAAAGCTAAGCCACAGCACACACTTGTTCTACCTACTGAGTAGTGCATTTAGCAAAAAAAAACCCCACACCAAAACAAACCAGGCTTATTTTTAATGTGTTTGCCCTTGATTGATACTGATTTCTATCCATCAAGTTAAATGCCAGTTCATGGTGGTAGAAGACTTTTATTTAAAGGAGGGAAAATAGACTCACAATGTTTTTAAGAACAATACTGGTTTAAGGGTCAGTTTACTTACAGAAACCATTGTGTTTTTCCTCCTCTGCTCAAAGACTGATAGAGCTGCTCAAAACTGTTTGTCTTCCATGTAAATAGGAACAGCTTTCATTAGCATAACTTCCAACAAATAAAAAAAGACTCTACAAAAATCCTGTATGCAGCTCACGCTCACAACCTACTGCTTTTCAGTTTTCTAACACAATCTCCTTAAGTGGTCCTAGTCGATGACCACAAGTGAGTCTGTATATAAACATGTTCTTTTGTAGTTTTATCCAAAGTAACCACAGCCATCAAAACAAGCCTTCACTTGAAGAAAGAGCTGCCTTGGTGTTAAGTAGCTGTAGGCAGCTCGAGGGAGACAGTTTGGTCCCAAAACGTCATGTCAAGAACCTCCTGCCAGCCTTTTTGTAAACATCAGCGCTACCGTGTTTCCTAAAGAGATCCAATGCCTGCTCGTGTAGATCAGGAGGGCACTGGGATCCAGTGTGAAGGAGTACAAGGCAACACTCCAGCACGTCGGGGAACGGGAAGACCTGCAAAAAAAGGGAACATGAGGTGACGTCTACTCTTTCTGTTATAATTGTTCAACTACAGGCAGCCAGCTCTCTAAAGACTCTGCTTTAGAATATCTTTAGAACAGACAGTCATGAGTCAGATGCGTTTTTCCCTCTTCTTCTAGTGCATTAGCTCATGTTTAACCAGGTTTGCCTCCTCTTGCACAATCACCATGATTACCTTTAGTTATATTATAGACTAGAGGACAGAGGGGATGGGACAGCCTAGAAAACATTGTTTTCAAATACGCCATGTTTAGTTGCCACAGTGCCTGATCTCTAAAGGCTATTTTATACCTTAAATTTGCCATTTCACTATTTACCAAAACTGGTTTTGCATACGTAATTCTAAGTAGCAAGGGATTACTTTTAAAGCGTGTGGGAGATTCATACAGAATATCCCATTGAGTTCTCCCATGCAGGAGCTTTATCTACGCTTTCCAACCACACAGAGTTACGCTTGAAAGAAAAACATCACCTTGATGCCCTTTGTCAGTTCTCTCTCAAAATTGCCATAGGATCACAAAGAAAGACACCCTCCCTTACTTTCTGTAGGAAAGGGATTCTATGATGAGGCTGCCCCTACCAAAAGACTGTCTTTTTTGAGAACCACAATGCCCCTTCTGAAAACTTACCTTTAAATTGTCTGGAAATTCTGCTAGTTTCTGCTTTGCTTTCAGAAGCTGCTTCGTTAGCTCAGGGAGTGTAATTGGTTCCTTTACTTCATCTTTACTGTCAAGAAAAGAGCAAGTGTAATGAGTAACTGTTTTGCTTAAACGACTGCATAGTCTCCCTCCTGCGCAGGGGAGAGTTGGACAAGCGTTACATCCTCTAGCTCATTCTCGCCCAAGTCCCAAATAACTGTTCAACAAAGAAACAGACCTCTTAGACCATGCCTGTCCTCCTCATTATCCTCCCCTTTTCAGGCTGCCCTGTTTATTCACCACACCAGCACACCCAGTGTATCAAGCAGTCCATCAGCTGTAGAAAGTTTATGCACACAGTAGTTCAGCCCCAGGGAAATGCAAGAATTTTGAGCTGTATGTTGAAGTGTCCCAGGGTGACAAGCTTGAGATTAGAGGCAATCTGAGCTAAACAAGAAATCTGCTGCACAAACACACAAAAAAACCAACGCGTTTTCAATCCATTAATTCATGTTCTGAAGCTTACCAATTCATCTGGTTGTCGTCAGAGCATGGTTTGCCTGATTCAGTCTCTGAACTCTGCTGCAGGTTGCTTTCCGGGGTGCTTCCATTTGTGTTTTCCTGGAGACTGTTCCTCTGCTGCTGATGCTGGCGGATCATATCTGCTAAAATCTGCTGGACCTCAGCTATATCTCTCTGGGTGTTCTGTAAAGCAGCCATCTCATCCGAAAGAAGCACTTTGCAGCCATTCAGTTTTGACTCTCTGTCTACCAAACCAACTGAGCAAGCTCTTGAGTCACTTTCTGTCTCACAAACTTCAGTTATGTTGCAGAGATTTTCATCTGTCTCAACTGCAGTTTGATTAGGAGTTTCTTCAGAGGAGGACTGACCTGAAACACAACTCTTCTCAGGAGCTGGCTGCTCACTGGGACACAGCACAGGATCCAAACTAGCCTTTTGCAAGACAAGAGAGTTCCACCACAGGTCATACAGCAGTCCGTAAGCCACAAAGCCCTCTAAACTTCTGCAAGGGTCCATGCTCTGAGAACTTGTGCTGTCCAGCTTGTGTCTCAGGTTATCACAGCCTAGTAATGAAAGAAAGGATTACAGAGTTGATAGAGATTTCCAAAGAAAAAGACCAGATCTGGTAAATAAACAGCTATCCTGGAGACCCAAACCAGAGATTTACTCAGATGCTGGCAGAGTGGTGCAGGAAGCAGAAAAGCACGACGAGGCAGACATCTTCGTCATCTTTTGAAACACAATACTCTGTTCTAGCTAGCATGAGACTGCATGTTATCACCTACAGCAAACTTCCCTGGCCCCAAGCTGCACTTCAGGACAGTCACATGATCGAGAGCCACAAAATAAATGCGCTGCACTCTGCAGAGAATGGAGGGAAGGGCCAGCTGGAGTGATTTTTAACTATGAGATGAACACAGCTTTCCAATGTCTCCGTCTCCCTTACAGAACAGAATTTGCTCAGTTTCCTACATCACCCACAGCAGCTGACACTCATCAGCTTCCTTCCACGGCCAGGAATTTTGGTCATCCAATAGCCCTTCCACTAGCCAAATTCCACAGGTTTTTATATGTATGGGTAGTACTTTCTCCTTCCAAACATTACTATGCCTAATAATATAATGGACAGACAGCTGTGCTTACAAGGAAGAGCCCCCAATCTGTCAGCACCAGGAGATACACAAGAAGAGACTTACCTTCAGGAAGGATGATACTGCAGATCTCCTGCATCAGAGTGAAATTACCAGCATCATAACTGCGGGTCACAGCTCCAAGAATGCTTTTCACTGCCTCATCCCAGGTAGCTGTCTGATAGCTCAGAGCAGCAAGGGTCAGGTCATGGGAGATATGGAAAAGCACCTACAGGAAGCACCAGAGAGCATGATTAATAGTTTTACTGCCAAGTATGAGCTTATGACCATTGTGGAACAGCCCAGAAGCACATGACTTAACCAAAAGCAATTTTAATGACAATGCAATTTACATAGTCTCCTTCATGCAGCAGATAGAGCACTTTTACGTTACTTGTAACTGTAAAATCAGCAGCTGTGCTTGCATATGGGAGCACACCAGAGGTCAGTGACTCACTGTGCTCAGAGGGAAGAGCTGCTGGAGCACCAGTCTATGAACAGACCTTCTGAACTCCAGGACATTTTAACAAGCAGCCCTGCCTCTCCTAACAGTTCAACACAAAACCCTGAATCACTGCTGAGACTACTCAACTATGCCAATCACTCCCACCCAGCCAGCACATCTTGGTGATCTCAGTGCTCAGCAACGACATCGTGCATCAGCTGTTACCCTACACAGAAGTGTATGCAGAAACAAACTGGTGGCTCTGCAAGCTGTCCCAGCTGCCTATCATCTACCCCTCCCAGACTATAACCTCATCCTGCAGCAAGGCACAGGCAGCAGTCCTCTGAGAACAGCTGGCACAACACCACAAAGTAGCTGTTTTACTGCATGTGCCATAGTAAGGATTGGTGTCTATATAGATCTAAATCCACTTACCTGCTTTGGGTGTGTGTTGCTGGTAGAAGGAGGATGCTCAACACTGCGCAGCTGCTCCTGTGCATGTGTGGCTCGTTCAGTGGTGTCCATGCCCAGAACATTCTGCCACACTTCTATCACCATGTCAAAAAATGAGGCCTCTCTGTTCAGCTCCCAGCTGTGGTAACAGGGAGGCACGGAGCTCTTTCGGTCATAGGGATTTCTTTCGCTAAGGCACTTGCAAAGCAGTTCGTTAAGGCAGAAAACAAGTCTTTGTCCCTTTAAGAAGGAAAAAAAAAAGCACTGAGCTGCTGCTAAAAGAAAAACAATCCCTTACTGACCACAGCAGGCAGAAAAATTTAAGAACATAATGGCTAGTAGTAGCTTATTGGTGATAGACTTTCACAACTGCAGCTAGCAAAGAACAATGCTGCTAGAGGTTCTAACATGAGAAGGAAACCTCATAACAAGCTAGGCTAGCCTTCTGTTTCTCAGTCTGCACGAAAACAAATTTCTGGATTAAGCTTCCAGCAGATGGATTTACAGTTTGCTCATTTGTTCCTTTAATGTAAACAGTGAATACTTTTCCTTCACTTCTTTCTTCTTATGATCAGTATTGCATACTTTAAAAAAAAAAATCCCACTTTTCTCAACTACCTCTCATATAACTAACAAGCACAGAGCTTCATGTGCCTCCCCACCATGGGCCTTTTGCCTCTGCAAGGGCACAAGCTTTTTCATAGGGTCATTGCAATAAACTTCTAGAAAAAGACTTTGAGGCAAAACCAGCTCAAAGGAGTACCTGTGGACTGCTAAACTATGGGAAGTGGTGACAAGTTAATGAAGTTAATCTGGAGAGAGACAAAGCTAAAGAAAGGAAACAACCAGACTCACAAATAAAGTTTTGTGTTGCTGAAGGACTTCCTGAGCTCCCACCCAGTTCCTGGATAACAGCAGGTCTTGGGCGCATCTGAAAGACAAAGTTGCTGATAACTCCTCTTCTCCAGATATCAGCGCAAGTTCAGCAGCAGTTTTCAGGGACGTCACATCCCCCTTTTTTGCCAACACCTTAACTGCATCATAGGGTGAGGAAGCCCCCAAATAACTGGAAAGAGATAAAAGCAAATCGACTTGATTAGTACTGAAATACCATTTTTAAACTGTATTGCAAGACAACGGCACAAGCAACCAAACGAAGATAAACCTGTATTTTCCACAGGTTCTCAGAGCTCTCGCTGCTTTGCCTTACCAAAGTTTACTACAGACATACAAAGCCTGATCTGATGCAAAACTACAAAGGCAAAGTCACACAGCCTAGTAGTCTGGACAACCACCAGAGGTTTCAGGTCTCATCCATACCATGCACGGCTTGGATGAGAAACAGAAATAAATAGATTAAAGAGAATTTAATCTAAGTCCCTTCACAAGCGTGGACACCCTCAAAAATGCCAAAACTGAAGTCAGCACCAAGCAAAGGACACTACTCCAGCCAAAATACTTCAAGTGTTACTAGTAATTTTGGTAGTCACAGACTTGAAACACTCCAGTCAGAGGAGGAGAACCCAGTGATTAGGATATTAGCTAAGGCCTCGAGACACACAAGATGAACTGTTGCACTGCATGTTTCCAGTAGGAAGGTTGGAAGCATCACATAGTCTTTTTGTATACATCCTAATCTTAGTCTTGCAAGACTAGTTTTCAAAGACTTCCAGTAACATCTGTGGAAAAAGATGGCTCTACTGTAGTATGGCACTTGGACCTTCTGCTCTGAACTTCCCTCTGGAGATTCTAGAGGGAGTCTAGTGAGATCAGTCTCAGAAAGCACCTTAAGCAAATAATGACCAGACCAGTTAACAGATTTCAGCTGCTACGAACCCAAGAACTTTCTTTGTTACTGGGAAGAAGACAGAGTTGGTTCCATGCCTGAAACACTCACCATTTGGCGGCCATGGAATAATGACCATCTTTCTCTAACAGAGCTGCCCAACTGGTGTAAAGATCTCTCAGAATTGGATCTTCTGGACGCAACCTGGCCTTAGCAATTACAATTGCTTCCCTAATGCACATAAGAGAAACCAGGTAGAAGAGTTAATTTACTGTCAACAAAAAGTGAACCAGAAAGACAAATCTACCCCACTAGAAAACAAGAGCAAATGCTAAACATGAATATAGAGCAACCTGTAAAAATGGTTCACTTTCAGGAGCTCAACAGCCTCATACACTTTATGGATGGAGAGGAGATGGGAGGCAGCCTTCACATATTGCTCCTGAAAACACAGTTGCTTCGCAAAGGCTTCCACTGTCCAAACCCAGGCCTGATATCCAACTGCAAAAGAGAAGGCAATACAATTGGAGGCAAAGTTTTAGAACTGGAAAAATTCCTGTGGGATATTATCATCACTGGTTTCTTCAACATGTACCTCTTCTCTGCCCCAGATTAGTTTCTTGTTCCTTAACCATCCTAATACAAGTCACTGAGGCAACGAAACAGGGTAGACCTAGGGCGTGAACATGACTGTAGGACTTCAAGATCAGTAAAATAACTTAAAAGTAATTTAAACCAACAGCAAGCTGGAAGGACTCTGACATAGTACAACGCACCAACTTTGTGCTTGGAAGGAGAGGCCTGCTCTTTCAGGAAGTCCCAAAGGAAACCACTCTGTTTCCTGCTGTCTCGACCTAAAGGTGCTTATGGGAACATCCAGGTTTTCATCATCATTGGATATGTTTTGTGTTTAACTGCCTGGTAACAAAAATCAAAGAAGCAACTTCCTTCCAGTCTGGAACAATCAAGAGTTTCCAACCCCAAACAATGAGAATGAGGCTACCCTTGGCAGCTAATTGCATCTGCTTATGTGTGACAAGAACAAACATACCCATGGGCGAGATTGCTACCAGCTGGTCTGTCAGCTCTCCCCTCTCAGCAGCTGCCTGGAGGACACCCTTCAGATCTCCTTTCCACACCATGAGCTGCTGAAAGAGCTCTGGATGCCCGTTCTCCAGGTGATGTTTTCCTGTTTGAAGCAAACACGCTTCCCATCAGCATAAGTGCAACAGCATTATTTGCTATAGTAAATACCTTGGCAACAGTGAGATTATTCAAGTGTAAGGTGTTGCAAGTTTGCATCTGAAAGATTTAAAAACTATTTGGGAAAAATAGATCTTTTCTTCTTTTCACATAGATCTGCATTCTTAATCCTACACTTTAATCCACAGTAAAGAAAATCCAAGCATTTTTCCCAATT